CCCCCCCCCCCCCCCCCCCCCGTTTACAGGAACAATTTACCCTTTGTTTTTTTAAAAAGGAATTTATATGCATTTCAAAAAAAAAATCACATCCATCTTAGATACCTGGTACAAATCTTACCCATAGCATATGGAATTAGCCCTATGAAATGAAAACAGGCTGCTTTGCTAGCTAATGAGTTCTCCTATCACTGGAAGTGTTCAAGCAGTGGATGGGAAATCTCCTTTCAGACATATTATGAAGTAGTTCCTTATATGGGGAAGGAGGTTGGACTTGATGACCTTTATGGCTCCTTTTCAGAGCCACACATTTCTGAAAAGGCAGATCAATTTACTTGAAAAACTGATGGTTTTAGTAGGGACGTTACGTCATGATGACTCTAGGGACATCCTTATTTAAAAGTAGGAAAGCTTCCTTTTCTTGTTCCACGAAGATTAACAGTGAGTAGACTGACACTAAAGAAGTTGGTACAGTCTATTTGGTTAAATCTGGAATAACGTGTAAGTCTTTCAGCTCTGACTCAAGCAACAATCTACCTTGGAACAGCAAGGCCTTTTTTTTGGCTGCTCAGCAATCTACAATGTAGCTTCCAGTCACATTCAGAGAGATACAGGTTAATTAGTCCTGATAAGAGTTTTAGGATTGATTTTAGGGTTGTTGGGTTTTTCTTTCTTCTTTTTTTTCTTAAAAAAGAGATTTCCAAACTTCAAGACTTTTATCAATTTAAGTTTTACCCCTCAAAAATGATTGGACTTTGAAACTACTACAAGGGTTAGGGGAAAAGGAATTGATTCAGTCTCTTTTAACTGCACCCTACAAATTAGCCAAATGCCTACCAGTCTTCAAAGAGTGATAAAAAGATTACCTGGGGCTAAAGAATTTAAAACAACTGATAGTTCTGTAGATAAGGAAGTGATTAACATCTAAAGGCTTTTTAAAAAAATTAACCTCTGTCCTTTGTAGGTTCTCACCATTCTTTTCTTCTAACACAGAAATATTTCTTCTACCTTATAAGCAAGGTCTGTGAGGTTTCTGGATTCTCTAAAGAACTGGTACATCCCTATTCTCTCTCTCTCTCTCTCTCTCTCTCTCTCTGTCTCTCTCTCTCTTTACTTTGTCTAATTTCAGGGTTTTGTTAATGGAATACCAAGAAACCACACCCCAATACCTTTTCACAATCTGGCAGAGCCACAAAGCAAAACAATTGTAGGTTTCTCTGAGCAGTGCATTTTCACTACAAAAACTGAAGTCATGAAATGTTCAAATCCTTTCAACTATTTACAACCTGGACTTTAGACTGAAGAATTCTTCAAACATCAACGCAAAAAAGGGTCAAAAAAATTCAAGTCAAAGGAGTTGGAGAAAGCTCAGAATCAGATAGGGTTGATAACTTGGATCAAAGTGTAAATGTTCTCTTTCCTGCTTCCTTTTCGAAATAATTTAAGCATATATTTTTAAGTTAATATACAAAACCAATCACAATTTTAAAAGACATCTCCTCCTTAGGTCTGCCATGTAGATAATAGCTAAAGTTTTTCACATAGTGACATTTTGCTTCTGGCCCACTTCCAGCCCCATAGAATTGAAAGAGAAATCTGATAATTCTTCGAAACAGCTGGGTGGTTTTTTTTTAAATAAATATTTTGAAGCCAAGTTTCAATATCTTTATGTTCCCCTTTCAGAGAAGCTGTATCTAGAATATTAGATTCTCATAAATACACAATTCTTAACATTTAATTGCTTTTAATGAATTTCTACCCAAAATATAGCTCTAGGGGAAAATCAAATAAAAAAAAAACTTAAACATCATAGCATTTTGTCCTGTCAACTTGGCATGACAAACCATGGGTCACAAACAGAACCCTTATTAAGGTCTCCTTGAAATAAATAAATGGATTCTCAGTGTCTCTTGCCGTCCCTTTCTCCTTCCCCTTCCCACATCTCCAAGGATTAGGGCTTATTATTATTAGCAAATGAGGTTTGACGAATTAATTCATTTCTGGAAAATGGCCTACATTCAGAAATGTCTGAGAATAAGCATTTTTAAAAAACTAATAAATAATTGCAAATTAAAATACATTAAAATAAAATTACAGTACATCATCTCTCCTAGAAGTCTGGCCATTCTAGAAGAGCCTTTCCAAGGTTCATAAATAACAGTCAAAGTCTTCATGACTCGAAATTCTTCCCTGCATCATGATGAGGGCTGTGCAGAAAACTAATTGGGAGGGGGGGCGAGTCACAGGTTACCACAAAGGTGAGGTCCAAGATACTTGAGTCTCGTTGGGGTCCAGGGGAGTTGTTTCTTTAGTTTTCCGACTAACTGAAGACAATAGAAATGTGTTCTTCCCAACTTTCCGAAGAGTTCTTTAATTCAACCTGGAAAGTAACGAATGACACTGAATGACGGCTCTAAAGAATCTCAGCTCCCTGTTCTTCTTTGACCAACCCCGCGCACGTTCTCCGACAATGGTCCCCCAAGCCACCGCTCCATGCCAGCTGGCACGGTCTCCCTGCGAAGACCTTCTGTTCTGCACCGTCTCCCTTCCCTCTCCCTCCCTCTACCTGCCCGACTCTGCTCCGAGAGCCGACTCCCCAAGCGCCTAACACAGGGCCTCCTTTGGCCAAAAGTAGAAGATGCGGCTTGAATAGAATTGTCTAATCGTGCCCGGAACCAGGTAGACCTTTCTCCCACTCCCTCCTTGCCTCCAGTCCAGAAACTTCGCTTTCTTTTCTGTTTCCGTGGCATATCCTCAGCATTGACTCCTCCTACCCTGCTCATTTCTGGGGGGGGGGGGGGCCCTCGGTCACCCCGTTATCTCCAGACACCGAAATCTATCCACTCCTTACCTGCTCTGGCTTGGGTGAGGGGAGAGCTGCCCTCTACCCTTTCAGGCGGAGTTGGAGGTGCTGCGAAGGAGGCGGTGGCCGGGCTGCTGCTGCGGCAGCGGCGCCTGCTGCTGCTGAGGAGGCTGTGGGTGCGGGTGCGGGTGCGGGTGAGGATGCGGGTGCGGGTGCGGGTGCGGGTCCCGCGGAAGCTGCTGCTGCGGCTGCTGCTGCTGCTGCTGGACTAGGTGCTGCTGTTTCTGCCGGGTAGACTTCACGGCCAGGATGGCCTGGCGGTTCTTGTATTGCACCATCTGCAATGTGATCTCGGCGTTCCAGCCCTGGTCCTGGGGGCACCGAAAGTCGATCTCCTTGCCCTCGGCCATGACCACGGTGAAGTACATGTACTTGCCCTTGCGCTCCACGCAGTCCACGGTCTTCATGTTGGAGAAATGCAGCTCCTTGAGCTTGGCGGGCGTCTCGAGGCCGGCGGCGGCGGCGGCGGCGGCTGCAGCGGCGGCGGCAGCGGCCGGAGGGCTCGGCTGGAGCTGCTCCGCCGCGGCCGCCTGCTGCTGCTGCTGCTGCTGCTGCTGCTGCTGCTGCTGCTGGTGCAGCTGCTTGGGGGGGATGAGCAGGAGCCCCTCCTCGGTGAGGATGCAGCATTTCTTCTTCCACAGCTGCAGCAGCCCGTCGCTGCGCTTCTCCAGCACCCCCTCCTTCAGCGCTTTGCAGCCGCCGCTCTCCAGCATCCTCTCGGCATAGGGGTGGCCGCTGCCGCTGCCGCTGCCGCCGCCGCCGCCGCCGCCGCCGCCTCCGCCGCCCCTGCTCCTCCTGCCCGCCGCCTCTCCTCCTCCCCGTCCTCCCCGTCCTCCTCGCCTCGTAGCCGCCGGCGCCGGGGGCAGCAGCAGCAGGCGGGCGCCGTCCTCCCCCCAGCGGCTCTCGCGGCCGCCCAAGCGGAGAGGGTAGAGGAGGCTGAGCAGAAGGACGCAGGGCAGGGCGGCTCGGGCGGCTGAGAGCCGCGTCCCGGGGTCCTGCCTGCTGCCGGCTGCCGGCTGCCGGCTGCCTGCCCTCCCTCCCTGGCTGGCCGCTCACTGGAGACGAGTGGCGCTGCCCCCTCCCTGCGCTTTTGAATGAGCCATCCCTCCCGCCCCAGAGTGACACCCAGCGGAAAAGGCGGCTCCGCGCGCACCCACCCGCCCCCGGCCCCAGCCAGCCAGCCGGACGGCCCCGCTCTCTCTCCAGACCACGTTGGCTTGCGCCTGTGAACTTGGCTCCCTTCCAGACGTGGCTCAGCCCCCGTCTCCGCCCTCCCTTCCCTCCTCGCTCTTCACTCCCTCTCTGGGAGTGGGGGGGGGGGGGGGGGGGGGGGGGGGGGGGGGCCCCCCCGGGGGGCCCCCGCCCAGGACTGGAAGGTTGGAGGCAATGCTGGTGGGGCAGGAATCCTAGCTCCTCCCAGGCCTCCTAGGAACTCCTCTGCTCCCCCCGAAAGAACGTGAAAAAAGGAAGAGGTTGGGGGGTCGTGGGGGGATCCTGCCACTAAGGTCGCACTCAATCGCATCTCCACTTTCTGAAACCGGTCCCTGTGGAATCCTCCCTCCAACTCACCTCCCCAAAAAAGCTGGAAAAAAAGTGCGGGCTAGGGTCGCGGAGGGGGGGGGGGGTTCTGACACTGAAGTAGTGTTCACACGCACCTCCACTTTCTGATGCCAGTCGTTCCACAACTTTCTACTACCCCACCCTATACTCCAAAAGAGATAAAGTGAGGGCTGGGGTCATCGGGAATTCTGTCACAGAGATTGCGCTCCACTTCAGCCCTCAGAAACTAGCCCTTCTTCCAGCAACCTCACCCACCCCCAAAAAATGTGCGAGGGTGCAGGATCTGCCCCTGTTACACTACTCAAACTCAGCTCCTGCTTTAACTACCCCCTCACTTCCCCAAATGTGAAAAAAGGGTGAGTGTTGCTCGCGGGGGAACCCTGACGCTGAAACCGCACTCTGCTGTCGCAGAAAACAGTCCTTATCTTAGGAACCCCACCAAAAAAGATAAGCAAAAAGAAAGCAAGGAAAAGTGTGGAGATGATAGGGGTTACCAACACAGCCCACTCAATCACACTTTCACCCTAGCCTCCTCAAACCAGTCCTTCTAGGAACCTCTACCTTCTCTCTCAAAAAAAAGAAAAAAAATTAAAGACAGATTGCAGAAGGTTGGGGATCCCCACCACCCTCGGCCCTTTTGGGCTCATGCTCCAGTATGGATAACTGAGGACAGCTTGAGGACAGGCCAGCCTGGAGTCCCCCAGACCATCATGCTTGCAAACAGCCACACAGGCTCTTCGGGTTACTTTGACATTGCACACACACTTCCTACAGCCAAAAAATATGTTAACGTCCAGGCACCCACGCACCTTCACGTATGAAATCACTAGCCCCATTTCAATTGTGCAGCAGCGATATTTGCTGTACGTGCCGCATTTTCCAGATTAGCACTTGTCCGTATGTGGGGGGGAGGGGAGGTTGCCTGGGCAGGGATTTCCTTAAACCCGTTCAACTTCATTAAGCGCAGAGAAACTCCGTACTAGGCACAGAGTGCGATGGAAAGATAAAGCTTCTCAAAGAATTTCCCATCCAGTAAAGAAAACGACACTCTTTTTGCGCTGTGGCTGAGTAGACCTGAACTGCGTTGCTTGTTCTCAGAAATCTCGATGACCTTTTCCTGCCGTTTTCATCTGAGTTTGGATATTAAGGGTAGAGACGTAGGTTTTTCGGAAATTCCAGCTTTTTCCAATACTGTTAGAAGTGGCTAGAGTCTGGAGCAAGAGTGGGGAATTTGTTCTGTGAAGTTTGGATTCAGTCAAAGGGCCGTACTTGAGAACCTAGAAGGCCACACGTGGCCTCGAGGCCGCGGGTTCCCCACCCCTGGGCTAGACCATTAGCTTTTTTTTTTTTTTAAAGCAGAGTCTGGCCTTTCATTTTTCCCATGATCGATAATGGCACTTCCTTCTCCAATCTCCCAACAGCAACTTCTATAGAAATCGCTCTCAAAGAGAAATTCGATATTGAGATTTTTAATCAGCGGCAACAACCTCCGCTTTTACCCTGAGATGTCAGCCCCATAGAAGGAAAGGAGCACTAGTCTTTTGGTGGGCTATTTACTAGCTGTGACCTTCGGCCAAATGAGGCCTCTTCTCTGGGGCTCAGCTTCTCCTTCTTCAAATGGAGATAATATTACTCAGCAGCTCTATCTTCCCTAGACTTCTGTGGTTAAGGGAGCGAATTGCAAATCTGAAAGCGGTGTAGAAACCTATGCTCTAAATATGGATCTCAGCCCGTTAGTCTAGATCCTAGATGCCAAGAGGACTCCCAGGGAGCTTTTGAATGCAGCTCTCTTCTTGAAATGTCATGCCTTGAGGGGTATTATACCTAAACAGGGAATTACCCCTTCTATTTAAAAAGAACAAAAACCAAAACCCTAAGGATTGTATTTTATCAATGAAATACCCCAAAGTAATATGGCAAATTATTCATATCTCTCCTCACCAAGACAAGAAGTTTGTTATTGCTGCCATTTTTTAAAGGAATTAATTAATTGGTTCACCCTTTTGACAGTATGTCTTTCTTGGCTAATTGGGAAAGTCAATAAGCATTAATTGTATATGCTATGTGCCAGGCACTGTGCTAAGCACTGAGGAACAAGTTTAGATTTATTGTGACATGCAAATTAGCCTTTTTTTTTTACAAGTTTTTCTCCCAGACCTTACTTTACACTGACTTGTAATTCCAACACAATTATCTATGATATCATGTGTTATAGCCACTGTGATTATATTATTACCGAAGCATATGACTATATTGTTTTCAGTCATTCAGTCATATCCAACTCTTCGTGATCCCGTGGACCACACGTAGCATGCCAGGCTCTTCTATCCTCCACTATCTCTCAAAGTCTGTCCAGGTTTCTGTTCATTATGTCCATGATTCTATCTATCCATCTCATGCTCTGCTATCTCTTTTTCCTTTTGCCTTCTATTTTTCCCAGCATCAGAGTCTTTTCCAATGAGACCTGTCTTCTCCTTATGTGGCCAAATATGACTACAATACAACTTTTACAATAGGATCACATTAAAATTAGGATTGAGACTTTGACTATGCTATCCTTTCCATTTCTCCATTTACAAAATGTTGAGCCTGCATAGAACCCAGTTTCAAATGTTCTTTAAGAATTTTTTTTTAAACATCATAAAGGAACAGTAACAGCCACATTGTGCTATGACTAACAGCAATAGCAATGCAAGGATCTAAGACATCTCCAAAAGTCTCATGATGGAAAATGCTATCCACTTCCAAAGAACGAACTATGGAGTTTGAATGCAGATCAGAGCATACTATTTGCTTTTTTTTCTTCTGTTTTGTTTTGCTTGCTCTTTCTTGTGGTTCCTCCTATTGGTTCTAATTCTTTCTTACAACATGACTAATGTGAAAATATGTTTAATAGGAATTTATATGTAGAGCCTATATCAGATTGTGTGCCATCTTGGGGAGGGAAATGGGAAAGGAGGGGAGAAAAATTTAAACTCAAAAGCTTATGGAAGTGATTGTTGATAACTCAAAATGAATTTTAAAAATTTATTAAAAATTTTTTTAAAATTGCAAAGGATTAGGTTGGATTCAATGTTAGGCCACCTAAAGAGCTTTATCCATTGTTTGGTAAGAAATGGCACATTGCATCTGCTAAATGGTCTAGCTCTAGGAGGGCAGAATCTTTTAATTTTGGTAATTCTCCCCTCTCTTAGGACAGCACTTTGCTCACAAGGATTGGCTATCACCTGTTTTGTGTTTTCACCTGTCACTTACAGAAAAATCCAGGATTTCTAGTTAGTAATTGGTGGAGAACTTAGTAATTTTCTGCTCAGGAGTGTTTGGCACATAACAGGCATTCAGGAAATACTGTAAAAGGTCTGACCAAAAAAAAAAAAATAGACCTTTGAGAGTTTAGGATTCTTGTGGATAAGTAACCTCTCTACCTCAATTTAGAAGAGTCTTCAATTACTATATTCAATTATTTTAAACAAACTAAAGCTGCAGTTATATTTTCAAAATACGTAGAGAAAAATCTAAATGGAAACTACACAAGGAAGCAGTATTGCTTACAATCAATTCTCACACTCTGAACCATGGGCTTTATGAAGATGCTTTGTGCACTTCAATCAGTTTGTTTCCAGCATATCTGCAATCCTTCTTTAATAGCATCAAAAATCAAATTTATTCAAAAAGCTGCATTATACAATAGTAGGCAATATATTCTAATTTCAGACCCTATGTTAAATTCCAAATAACCCTGCTAGACAAGGAGGTAAACTGTCCTGTGAGGAGGGAAGGCCTTATTATCCACAAGTAGAAAGGAAATTTAATTAATTTGTAAAATGCCATTTATATTTCCAATAATGCCTACAACCTAAGTTAATAAAAGTTTAAAAACTTTATTCAGGATTTTATGAAGGCCTCATATGATTATAAAAATCATATCCTTGGTTAAGAAATCTGTTGTATTGCTATATATGAAGCAGAATCAGTTTTTAAAACTTGATAGTTTGGGGATGTAATTGACACCACAATGAATTTTATTATCTTCTATATTCTACATATTCCGTTTAAAGTAAATCTCAGCTTTCCTTTCTGAATAATGTGTCATTTAACATAGTGAGAAATAATTAAACAAATAAGCTGGCTGTTTTAAATAGAGATTAGTCCAAGAAATAGTAAATTCCTATTAAAATGAAGTAAAAAGGATTTACAGAGAATGCAGTTTAAAAAAATCTCAATATTACTTAAATTCTTGGCTTAAAAGGTTGTGGAAGATGAGTAAGAAATTGCTTCTTCTGTTCCACTTTCACCCAATTTTTTGTTGTTGTCCTCCAGTCAAATGTGACTCTTTGTGACCCTATTTGGGGTTTTCCTGGCAAAGATACTGGAATGGTTTGCAATTTCCTCCTCCAGCTCATTTTACAGATGAGAAAACTGAGGCACACCAGGGTTACATGACTTGCTTAGGGTCACACAGGTAGTGTCTAAGATTAGATTTAAACTCAGTGAGATGACTCTTCCTGACTCCAGGTCCAGCACTCTATCCACTGCGCCACCTAGCTGCCTATTTTAAAGTCATTTAAATACAAGACAACCATGCAAGCTTGATTGACGAATTGGTCAGGAAGATACTCTAAAATGTCATTATAACATTCACTGTTATAGAAGTGGATATAACAGAAGTTAGATCATAACTTTAAACAAAACTCAATGAACTTATTATGTGAGATTTGGCTCTATTTCCAGTACCATGCAAAGGAAATACAACTATTATAATGTAGTATTTACAGCAGGATAATTAGGGTTGAGGCTTTGACTATCCTGTTCTTTCATTTTTCCATTTACAAAATGCTAGCAAGGCTTCAGATTCCAGTTTCAAATCTGTTTTAAGAACTGTTTTAAAGCATCCTAAGAGAGTTAGGCATTAGGTTAGACTCACTAAGGCGGTCTAAAGAATTTCAAGGAATAGCACATGGCAGTTTGTTTCTAGTATAACTAAGGTAACGGTGCCTCCTAGTGACCAACTTGAAGAACACAGTGGGAAGAAACATGAAATGACACTTCCACAGTTATTCTCTACTGTCATTCCTTCAGTAGAAGCAGGATTGTCAGTTTTGAGGGCTTATGGAAAATTATGTCAAAATTTGGTTACCCAGAGAAGTTCATCAGTATTGTATGTCAGTTTCATGACAGCATGCTTACCCAGGGTCTGGATAATGGACAATGCTCTCGTACTTTCCCAGTCACCAACAGAGTGAAACAAGGCTGTGTGCTTGCTCCCATGTTTTTTAGCATGATGTTTTCAGACATGTTGTCAGATGCTTTCAATGAGAATGAACATGGCATCAAAGTCAACTACGACACTGATGGTAAATTCTTCAACTCTAAAAGACAAGCCAAAATCACAGTGGATGGAGTGTTGGTGCATGATTTTGTTTGCAGATGATTGTGCACTCAACGCAGCCTCTGAAGCTGAGATGCATCAAAGTATAGATCGATTGTCTGCTGCTTGTGCTAATTTTGGCCTAACAATTAACAATTAGTACTAAGAAAATATAAGTGCTTCGTCAGCCACGCCATCCATACGTGGAACCACCGTTTCCAGCAAATGGAGAAGTTTTGAACGCTAGGGATAAGTTCACTTACCTTGGTAGTGTACTTTCCAGGAATGTACACAATGATAATGAGGTTGATACATGCATTGCCAAAACTCAGTGTTTGGGAGGCTCTGAAGGAAAGTATGGGAGAAAAGAGGTATTAGACTGACTACCAAAGTGAAGGTCTACAGAGCTGTTGTGCTGACCTCATTGTTGTATGCTGTGAAACCTGGACAGTATACCAGCGCCATGCC